CCCCCTCCATCTTCAGCTTTGAAGACCATTCATAAAAAATTGTGGGTAATATAAAGTTCATACTAATTTTCACATTTGGTGTGACCTTTACCTTGACTCAGTTTTCACTGAAATTAAATCAGTGTGAGCTGTAATTGGTATCTACAATCACACAAAATTTGAAAATGATACCTTGAAAACTGTCAACACTAGACTGCTAACAAACAGACACGATTACATATTCTTTTTATTTGGGAGGAAAATAAATAACATGGAATTGCTTTGTTTTTGCCCTGACGATGAACCAAGGATCATCTGGTAAATCTTGTATGCCTTTGGGTGAAACAGCCATAATATGAACAAAGTTTCATATAAACAAATTACCCACTGCTGATGGAAAAGCACAGAGAAAAGAACAAGACGGTACACATGGTCTTCCTGGATCTGGAAAAGGCATTCGATCGGGTCCCCCACGAGCTGATTTGGCGATCACTACAAACTCATGGTGCCCTGGAAGCTTATGTGAAATGGACTCAGCTGCTCTATCGTAATGTCACAAGCACGGTCCGATGTTCAGCGGGAACATCACCAGCCTTCCCAATTACCGTTGGCGTCCACCAGGGCTCGGCCCTCTCGCCCCTGCTGTCCTCTGTGTGGACACCGCGACGGCTGATCTGCAATCACCACATCCATGGAGCCTCCTGCATGCAGATGAAACAGAAAACTGCCTAGCCCTGCAAACCCGAACACAAGCGTGAAAAGATTGGCTCTCCGAAAACGGCATGTGCCTGAACATCAAGAAGACTGAGTACCTTGAATACGGCCCCCAAACCAACAGTACCATCACTATCGATGGCGTGCCGCTGACTGAAGTTGCCCAATTCAAGTACCTCGGGTCCCTTGTCACCTCAGACTGCGAAACTCTACCAGACGCCAGACTCCGTGTCAACACAGCGTGGATGAAGTGGCGTCAGGCCAGTGGAGTCTTATACGACAAGAGAATGCCAATCTATCTTCATTTGAAAGTCTATACGTCGATCGTGCGCCCAGTGGCACTCTACGGGTCAGAGTGCTGGCCAGCGATGACCAAACACGAACAAGCCCTTCACACCATGGAGATGAAGATGCTGAGGTGGCCTCTGGGTCTCACACGACTTGACCGAGCGAGGAATGAAGATGTCAGGAAACGATGGGGAGTGACACCGATCACAGACAAGATGCGAGAGGCGAGGCTCCGATGGTACGGCCATGTTGTCCGTAGCGATAAGAACTCCATCACAAAGACAGCCCAGCAATTAGATCTGGATGGAAAGCGCTGGACGGACCGAATCACAGATGATATGAAGGTTGCGAATGTTACACCAGAAGACGCCCTGGATAGGAAGAAGTGGAGGAAGGCATGCAAAATAGCGAACCCTGCATCGTGGGATGTAAACCACTAGGAAGAAGAAGAAGACCCATACACCTTGAGTTACCTCAGAGTGAAAAGAGTTCAGTTCTATTGCAGATGAAGGAAAACAGTGTCTCACTTATTCTTGTTCTTTCAGCCCTTTTACCATCAAGCAATCTACAAATGTAGGTCAAAATGCTGTTTGAATGAAGTCCCGACTGCACAGGATATATATTTGTGCCTTTATCGATCCTTGTGTTATACAGGCCAGCAGTTCTTTGAAATGCTTGTACTGCACCTGTTAAACATAAGAACAGCAGAGTTCTTAACTGTGTTTGAAGTCTTAATTCAGCCTGGTTACTCATGTAACAAAGTAACCTTGATGACCTCTGTTTGCATATCTTTTAATTTGTTCAGTCAGAGAGTTACATCACAAAGCTTAGCCTCTCGCAGGGTCACTGTGTGTGTCTGTGTGTGTCTGTGTGTGTGTTTGTTGCCAGGGCTCCAGCAGTCTCCTCAAAAAGAGCAGTTGCACATTTTATCCCAGGAGGGGGCAATGCTCCGGCCCCAGAGGGGAGCTAAGGTAGTGCAGGGTCAATGGAGATGTAACACCCCAGCTGCACAATCTGACAGATCTAATGCAGCTATTTGTAATGGGATTCTTCCCCTTCAGCTCCAGCCCTGTTATCAGTGGCCAAGCAAGCTTGCTGCAGCGGGGCTGAGGCCAGCTCATCAGTGCATAGCTCTCCCAGTGTCGTCTGGATGCTAAACAAATGATCACATTAGGCTGAGCGAACTGCAGCTGTGCCGGTGAGGCTTTTTTGTTGTGAGACCAAATCGATTTTTACTTTTTAACATTTTAACGCAGCTGTGAATGACACCACACTGATGTAGTCAGGTAAGGCTAAAGTGGTATACAAAAGGGAGAGGTTTTCCTTTTCAGATTCAAAGCTCATTTCTATAAAGCCGTCATCGGTAGCACAGAGGAGATATCAGCAAACAAGAGAAACTTTGAAGAGAGAAGAAAATAAATCTAGCAAGAGAAGCATTTATCATTAGCAGCTTTAAATCATCCTTAAAGCTGATAAGTCCTCTGACACCCCTGGTATTATAAGCAGCTGCTTTCTTACACCCTAATCTGACAGCTTTAAATAAAACACCTGTCCAGTTATTGTCTGTCCTTTTAGGAGCAACTCTGCTTTTATATATTTTAGATGTGTGTGGATTTTATGGTCCATGGACTAAACAGTAGCTGCAACATTAAACTGGTTTGACGCTGAATCCCCATACAGTCATTTGGCGAAGCTTTAAGCTACCATTATAAACTTGTGTTAACTGTGTGTGTTTGGAAAGCTGTCAATTTGCAACTCGAGCGGCATTATTGTTTATTTAGAGTTGTTTTGAGGGGGTTTTTTTTGGTCACCTGGCAAATTCCACATCCAGCTTTATTCCACCAACCCCTGTGGCTCTCTTTGCTGCTAAATTGTCCACTATATTCACCTGCTAATTGTTAACTTTCCATTTGCTGCTGGGTCGGTTGTGTGCAGTGGGTAGACTCAGAGATTTTTCACGGAAAATGATCTGCCTGCTGTGACTGGAAAAGGGAATGGATGAGAACAATGGGAGTGAAAGAAAACAGGAAAGTCAGCTGTGGCGCTGTACCAGCAACAATTTTCACATTACGCATACTAATTCCTTTATTTAATATAAAAATGGATTAGAGCACCTTTAAGCATATAAACACGAATATACTCTTTCATAGACTTTTTCTTTTAAAGACACCAAAGCTTTGTTTACTTTATCTTCCTTCCCTGCACTGCCTGTACTGACCTACAGAAAGGTCACTCCGCTCACACTGTAGTCATAAACTCATTTTCAAATCAAATTAAAGTTTAAAAGATTAATAGCCCTCGTGCTCTAAAGGACTTTTCCCCCCAAGTTTATAATCAGATAGGAAATTGCTTTATTATATCTGAAATGCCTAGCAAGAATGATGTACATCAACTCTCATTTACATGCCAATTCTGATAATCTGATAGTGTGTAGCTCTTTTTATTTTTTCCCCTGTTAAGTCCGTGCCCACCTTCACAAGGTTTTGGTCATGAAAATTGGCGCTCCCCTAGTAAGCTTCCTGCTCCATCCCATTGCAGCTGGAAAAGCCATTTTTAATCACCCAGATAGTGCTGATAGATTCTTCTGGGCTTTGCACAGATTAAGAGAGCATTACCTAAAAATGAGGGTGAGAAAATCGTCTTTGGTCCTTTAAATACTCACCAGAGAACCGCAATATTACAGCCTTTTATTTTGGTCATTTTCCTTTAGCCTGTGTTTTTCCATGATTCGCTAGGAAACCCCACCCCCACCCCTAATGTACACTGATACCTTTACGTAAACTGATACATGGGAACTGCTTTGGGGAAAGCACTCGGTTGAGGTTTGGTGCCTTGCTCAAAGGAGACAGCAGAGGGTTGCAATAACAAACTGCGCTCTATGAGCATATCAGATACTAGGATACAGTCTTTGATCATCCACCCTGACAAATTCCCTCAGAAGGATTCACTTGTTTTTTGGTCTTTTTTGGGGGGATGTTTCAGTTTGTGTTTGTTAGACGACTGTTGCGTTTAGGAGGAATTTCTGTCACGCACAGATGCTGAAGTTTTTGTCAGACTGTTCCAGGTTTTTCCCGTCAATGTCAGCAGAAATTAAGGCTGCCTGCCTCTGCCCCTTTCTCTCCTGCTCTTATTGACATCTCCTCGCGCTCCCCGCCCCCTCTATAATCATCAGTTGTTTGTCAGCGCTGATGTGTGTATGTCACATAATGACTGTTGCACAGCAGCAGGACAGCTTTTTCTTCCAGCCAGAAAAAAAGCTGCAAACACGAGCCAAAAAGCACAACAAAGAAAGGATGCAAATCTTAACAAAGGGCATTTTTTATGGATTCCTCATTCTGACTCTGGTAATCACTGTCAACAATAGGCTTTTTGTAAATAAAATGCCTGGTGGTAGAGCTTCAGAGAAGGATGTCTATTTTTCCAGAATAGTTAATGATTCATTTGGGTAAACAAGGCTTTAATTGTCTCTCTCTGGTAAGGCCTGTGTACAAGCCCTGACATCTGATGCTAAATTATAGCTGTAAAACTCTGGCCAGTGTTGAGCTGCTTTTTAGAGCCAAGCTGGCATAGACTGTGGGACCTGTTCAATTAAGAAGTGCGCCACAGAGAGGTAAGGCAAAAGGGTCAAATTGATCTTAGGAGAGAAAAACGTGTGGCAAATAATATTGACTTTCATTTTGATTTCTTAGCTGAAATGTGAGGAATAAATGGCAGCATTTACTCAGAAATACTCCGAAAAGAAGAATCAAAGATGTTTTTATTCAAGGAAAACTTGAATAACTTTCATTTGACAGCAGTGACATTTGGATGCAGCTGAATCTAGGTTGGATTGATTTGAGCTACGAGTCTGCAAACACCATCAAATGTAAGAACTGACTCGTTGCAGGGTTTTTGTTTTATATTGCCACACCTATTGGTGTGAGGCTTTTTCAGGAAGGAGCAGAGCAGGATGGTGCTGAACAGGGAGCAGTGTTGGATTGAGGCTCCCTGTCTCGCCTGGTGACGGCTCAGAGACAGTTTGGTGCCACTGCCCCAGCTTGCACACTGTGAAAGAATATCGATACATTATGAATCCTTTAGCTCGTTGTACAAGTTTCATCACCTTCCACCTTTCTCCAACCTGAGTCCAGCGTTCAGTATTGCTGATTCATAGATGCTTTGAAGCAAAAGACTGTGCAGTGAGACTGACAGTACACTGAAAAACAGGCCATGTTGGATTTACTTCATTCAATAGTGGACATTTGTTGCACATAACTTTTTTGCTTTGGCAGAAACTTAAACAACTGAGTTAAATCAACGCAACTTATTCATATTCAATAAACCTGTGCATTTCGTGTTGATAAAACGCGATTGAAACATGTTTAGATGAAGTAAGGTGAGCTTTCGGAATATTTTAATCCTTCGCAATTTTTGTCATTTTATTTCAACACTATTCAATTACATTTACCCCAATACTACTTGGTCACTTAAATACTACATGTTGTCTTCATATTTCATAATGTTTAACAAAGTCTAGAGTCTGGTTAACATAAGAACTGAATGGATCTACAACGACTACCGTCCTCCTATCTTTATACAGATTGCAGGGGGGCTCAGGCATAACCTGGGGGTGATAGAGTAAGAGGCAGGGTACACCCTGGACAGGTCACACTTAAATGGTAAATGGTAAATGGCCTGTATTTATATAGCGCTTTACTAGTCCCTAAGGACCCCAAAGCGCTTTACATATCCAGTCATCCACCCATTCATACACTGGTGATGGCAAGCTACATTGTAGCCACAGCCACCCTGGGGCGCACTGACAGAGGCGAGGCTGCCGGACACTGGCGCCACCGGGCCCTCTGACCACCACCAGTAGGCAAGGGGTGAAGTGTCTTGCCCAAGGACACAACGACCGAGACTGTTCAAGCCGGGGCTCGAACCAGCAACCTTCCGATTACAAGGCGAACGCCCAACTCTTGAGCCACGATCGCCGCACTTAACTTTAAAGCATGAGGCAATTGTGTTAAATACACGCAAGATGCTTACATAAATCCAAGAGATGGTCAATCCCTTTTTTTCAGTGTAACAGCACAAGTGAAGCAGGCTGAGGAGAGGCTGGGCAACACGAATTCTTTAGCTCTGAGCTCAGTCTGCAGTATTTCGATTTAATGCTGCGTTATACTTCTACCACACAGGACTTGAGCCATATTTTACTGTACTATTTTTTGGCGAGTTTGTTTGTTCCTGTAATTACTATCTTCTTTTTTTTGTTTATGATCCTACATAAGAAAGATTGAAAACAATCACGCAAAATTAAAACACGTGTGGTCCCTGCAGTTTTAGCTTGTTACCTTTTGCAAAGAGGTTATACCTTGTTTGGGCTACTTGTCACATTTTAAATGTCCACGAAACGTCTAATTACTAACATTAATGATGGATGATCCATTATTTGGTACTGAATGGAGAAATTTCTACTTGTTGTGATGTGAGTCTAAATGACATCCACCTTATCAGGTGTGCATAATTATTAGGCAACGTCCTTTCCTTTGGCAAAATGGGTCAAAAGAAGGACTTGACAGGCTCAGAAAAGTCAAAAATAGTGAGATATCTTGCAGAGGGATGCAGCAGTCTCAAAATTGCAAAGCTTCTGAAGCGTGATCATTCGAACAATCAAGCGTTTCATTCAAAATAGTCAACAGGGTCGCAAGAAGCGTGTGGAAAAACCAAGGCGCAAAATAACTGCCCATGAACTGAGAAAAGTCAAGCGTGCAGCTGCCAAGATGCCACTTGCCACCAGTTTGGCCATATTTCAGAGCTGCAACATCACTGGAGTGCCCAAAAGCACAAGGTGTGCAATACTCAGAGACATGGCCAAGGTAAGAAAGGCTGAAAGACGACCACCACTGAACAAGACACACAAGCTGAAACGTCAAGACTGGGCCAAGAAATATCTCAAGACTGATTTTTCTAAGGTTTTATGGACTGATGAAATGAGAGTGAGTCTTGATGGGCCAGATGGATGGGCCCGTGGCTGGATTGGTAAAGGGCAGAGAGCTCCAGTCCGACTCAGACGCCAGCAAGGTGGAGGTGGAGTACTGGTTTGGGCTGGTATCATCAAAGATGAGCTTGTGGGGCCTTTTCGGGTTGAGGATGGAGTCAAGCTCAACTCCCAGTCCTACTGCCAGTTTCTGGAAGACACCTTCTTCAAGCAGTGGTACAGGAAGAAGTCTGCATCCTTCAAGAAAAACATGATTTTCATGCAGGACAATGCTCCATCACACGCGTCCAAGTACTCCACAGCGTGGCTGGCAAGAAAGGGTATAAAAGAAGAAAAACTAATGACATGGCCTACCTTGTTCACCTGATCTGAACCCCATTGAGAACCTGTGGTCCATCATCAAATGTGAGATTTACAAGGAGGGAAAACAGTACACCTCTCTGAACAGTGTCTGGGAGGCTGTGGTTGCTGCTGCACGCAATGTGATGGTGAACAGATCAAAACACTGACAGAATCCATGGATGGCAGGCTTTTGAGTGTCCTTGCAAAGAAAGGTGGCTATATTGGTCGCTGATTTGTTTTTGTTTTGTTTTTGAATGTCAGAAATGTATATTTGTGAATGTGGAGATGTTATATTGGTTTCACTGGTAAAAATAAATAATTGAAATGGGTATATATTTGTTTTTTGTTAAGTTGCCTAATAATTATGCACAGTAATAGTCACCTGCACACACAGATATCCCCCTAAAATAGCTAAAACTAAAAACAAACTAAAAACTACTTCCAAAAACATTCAGCTTTGATATTAATGAGTTTTTTGGGTTCATTGAGAACATGGTTGTTGTTCAATAATAAAATTATTCCTCAAAAATACAACTTGCCTAATAATTCTGCACTCCCTGTAGTTGAACCCAGAGCTTCAGCAATAAAATGCAAAGTAAAAGCAAATCAAGCACTCCCTAAATCACTCCCTGACAACGTGTCTGCATGCACCAGTCACAGCTGTTTCCTGAACCTGACGTTTCCTGGATGTAGTCTGAACAAGTAACACTACATTAAAAGACCAAATATCCAAGAGATAATAGACTGTTGAAACAAAAGTTAAATATTTGGCACAGCAGAAGATGAAGAGCATTTTCTACTTTTTCTAGAAGCAGATCATCATCCATTGGAAATACTTTAGTCGTATTAGGATTTAGAGCAAGTGATGTTATCCAAGAACAGAGTCCAAGAGCAAATCATATGTAGAGCTGTGTCTGCACCACAAAGCAGCACAAGTAACCTATTCAATCACCTGAAAACACACCGTTAGCTGCACTATAAAAAAGGCCAAGAAAAACTGTGCAACGGCTGCTATTGTCTTGTGTCAACTCAAACATCTATGAAAGTGAAGCTGTACTTGTGATACATGTTTTGCTAATCTATGTTAATGTATTATTGTAGTCTCTACCTTACAATATAAAGCACCTTGAGGCGACTGTTGTTGTGATTTGGTGCTGTATAAATAAAATTGAATGGAATTAATCTGCACAGAGGAAAGCAACATTTCACATTAATGTTAAACTATTTTAAAAAGCACCACAGTTGCCTGACATTAGTAACGTATCAGCATATGGGGCTATATAGAGTGGGGTATTTATTTAATATTTTGCACGAAGTGAAACATAAGATTTTCATAAGATAAGAAATAAGATAAAAATTTCTAAAACTCACATTAACTAGTGACCTCATTTCTGGCGTGCAGGGTTTTAGGACTTATTCATTACGAGCACAGTTATTAGTCATTACTTTACAGTCTATTCATAAGGACCCAGGGTACTCTAAGAGTTTATAGACTATTTAGAGCATTAATAAAAGCTTTGATTTTTTAAAAATAATTGTTAAAAAGAGTATTATTGTTACTGTTTTGGGGTTGAGCATGCAATCCACATGCTGCAAAGTGAACGCAGAGTCCTGGGCGTGAATCTCAAGGCCATTTGTTGCTTCTCCCAGATTTCAAAAAAATAAACACAATTTCTTGTAAGGAGCAAGAGGTTCACAACAAACTGCAACAGATTTGGGCTTTTTTTGCTCATTTGTCACATTTAAGCCACATAATAACACAAATTGACAACTTGACTCTAGTTAATCACAAACTGATAGCAGACTGACTCCAGGTTATGTAATGTTTTGCCACCTTGATCCACCAAAGTTGTTTTACGACAAAGTGTGTAATAGACACACATGCAGAAGTTGCAGTAGCAGCAGAGGGAGCCATTTTATTTCAAGCCAACATAAAAATAATCACGGGAATAGACATTGTATAAATAGACATTATCAACACATTTACAGGTTAATCGTTTCTGGTGATTAAGGAGCCTGAAATATACTTCATACGTTTTTAGCTCTCTACTGACTTTGTGGCTTCAAATGTATTATAACCCTGCTGGTAGTGCAACTTCTGCATGCAGTAGTGCAACTTCTGCATGCAGTAGTGCAACTTCTGCATGCAGTAATGCAACTTCTGCATGCAGTAATGCAACTTCTGCATGCAGTAATGCAATTTCTGCATGCGTGGACATTTCACGCTTTGCCTCTCCAAAACGTGAAATTTAATAGACACTGTTGTGCCTAGTAAACATTTTGCTGTGATACTAGGTTGCAAGTGGTTGCAGAAGAGGCCCCCCGTCTTCAAAACAACAATTTCAAAGGCAACAAGGCTGCAAGATCATTGCACATAGTTGTAATAATTTTGGTTGTGTCAGTAGTTTTTGTTGCTTTAAGATGAATACTTTATTATTCACTTATCAGCAGTTTAACTATGCACTTATTAACTATTAATCATGGGTTTTTTTTCCTCCTTAACTATGTGGAATGAACTATATTTTGTAAAGGTTGATAAATGTAAAAAAAAAAACAAAAAAAACATACATGTAATCTCTTACTAATGTCATTTTGTTTACTTTAACAGTAATTGCTTGTAACTATAAATTAATTTGTCTTTGAAATTCATTTAGTCACGTTGATAGTCATAGTTTTGTCTTGTGAGCTTTTTTAGGAGCCTTCAGTGGACTAAACTGTCATTAAAGTAGTTTAGACTTGATTCACTTCATCTGGCTAGAGTGAAATACTACATACACAATCATTAAGCATTAATAACAATCTAATAATGTAATGTCTATATAGTTTCCTATTACATTTTTTCTCCGCATGGGTCCAACTGAAAATAATATAAAATGAAAAGAAGTGAAAATTGAAATCTATTACACAGTAGCAGCCATTTCCCTTTTAGCTCTTTTTTTTTTTAGATGAGAACTGCTGCAGTGAAT